GCTGGGGACCCTCTGTATTTTACCGCTCCCTCCTGCAGTCTTCCCCTATTACAATTTAAAATGATTCTGTAAACTCCGTGTATCAATAGAAACAATCTCTGCCTCTGCCAGCTGCAGTAAATGTAGTTTCCAAATAATAAGAGGTGCATTCATCTGTGGATCTCCTTTGATCCGCATTAGTGATATTTTCAGCACCAGAACAGTGAAGCAAAGAAAGATTCCTGAGTTTGTTAGTAATTTTATTTATTAGGTGCATCTAACCTGTTCTATTTTTCTCTGAAATGAGATCAAATCAGTGCTTCTATGGGTTGTCTCCAATCTGCACTGCAAATTTTTACTTTATTTAGAGACTTGTTGCAGAAAATATTGAGAATGCGCAGTTTTTTGCTACCACAAGCGATCTCTGGTCCAGCCGCACGTCAGAGCCGTATTTGAGCTTAACTATCCACTACATGAGCAACTGGGAGCTGCATAGTATTTTTAACAAGTTAATGTTTGCACAATACGTTTGCAATTGACATGTTTGCACTTTAAATATGTTTATGATTTTAATTTATGTTAAGTTACTTGAAAAACGAGAAAAACTGATTTTTGTAATTGTTTCTCTCAGGGCTTTTATCATCTCTGGTGTGAGTTTAAAATATAAGTGTGTGAGCACTGTGCTGATTATCCCTAATATGAATAAATGTTTATTTATTCAATGTTTCTCTTCTTTAATACGCAATTGAAGTTATGCTATTCATGGATAAAAAATCGTGATAAAATCGAAGTCGTGATGAAATATTGGAAAAATCGTGATATTCTATTTTTGCCATATCGCCCAGCCCTACCTAGTGATGAACCTAGCTACATTTCTGAAGACCCTTAGCTACTTTCTTCTAGATATTTGCTGCAAATTATCAACAAAATAGCCATTTTTGCTCTGAACCGTTCTTTGAACTTTGTTTCAGCTGTCATCTAGAATATAGAAGTTACAGATACAAGAGACATTACTGGTGCTTTAGCTCACCTAATTAAACGCCGGCCCCTCGTGCAGAAGATCTGGCCTCAATTCTTGATGTGAACGTAATTTATAAAGAGTTTATTTTTTACATTAATGGTATATTTTTTTACAGTAAGATGCCCAAGTTTTAATTTGAGACTCGCCGAACGACATTGAATTCACAGATAAAAAAGATGTGGGTTCAACTTTCATTTTGGAACACTTTTTCAAGCAAGGGAAGGGAATGATCTGAGCATGCAGGAGGACTGACCCATCATAAACCTTTGTCGGCTGTGCTGAAGAGAAAGGTACAGAACCAAATTATTTAATTAATTAGCTGCACATTCTCCTGTCCTCTGTCCTCCGGGCCACACACACACACACACACACACACACACGGAGCTGACTGTCTCAGCTTTATTTTCGTTAAGGAGTGTGCACGTACAGCATGCGTGCATTGTGCACGAGCCTGCTATTGAAGCTGCCGTTATGCTTTTGGCCTGAGGGGGCAATCGCGAGCATAAACATTCAAAACTCCGTAAAGTCCCTTTAAAGTCAGGACTTAAAAGTGTAGCTTTAAATTATACTCTATAAGAAGGATGATTTGCTCTGAAACCCTGATGGGGGAAAAAAAAGAAAGGAGCAGTGGTAAAATCATGGAGAGAGCACCGAAGTGAACAACGAAATTTGGAGAGGAAATGAAGAGAATTTGTAGGAAAAGGGTCTTTCCAGACTTGCAGGAAGCAGATTGTCTCAGTTTCTCTTCCCCCCATTCCCTCCCTCCTGTCTGGTGCTGCAGCTCTGGAAACCCCCGGCTTAAACAAAAATAGGACTGTTCTCACAGAGCAGCACTTTGTTTTATCAACTCAGCCCATTAGCAGTAACTTAAGAATGCCCCCTCCCCTCACTCCCCTGTTGCTCAGAGGCACACACCCACATTAGCCCGATGGCATCACGTTTTGCAGGTTGACAGAGCAGGTAGCTGGACAGGAGCTGTCCTTATACCTGTTACATAAGTCAAGTTTTAGCTGGATGTTCAATCAGCACACACACACACACACACACACACACACACACACACACACACACACCACACACACCACACACACACACACACACACACACACACACACACACACACACACACACACACGGATCACCAGGAATGAGTGCAGCTGCTGGTTTCATTACAGCCTGACAGACTTCCTCACACGTCTTGTTGCTGCTTGCCCAGTCTGTAGGCTGGAGTTTGCATATATGAGGTCAAAGTGAAGAGGAGCAAACAGGAGGACTTTTCACCCAGTAGCTTTTCATTCCTTCAGCAGAAAAAATGTGACAACATGTGAGCCGGAGAAACAGCAGACGTGGCTGGAATACAGGGTTCACAGCCAGGCCGTTCCTTCGTATCATTCGTGTGTTGGTGTTCCCGTCACACGTGTGTCTTTGTTCTCCAGAGGCTGGAACGGCTTTAAATCCAGCCACCGGGAGGTGATGTTTCTGTCCTGACGGATGAGTCTGGCACCTTTCAGATGGAGTCTAATTATTATTTTGTTGTTGTTCTGAAATCAGCAGGAGTGTGTGTGATTTCTGTGTGTGATATACATTATCTATCTACATCTATCTATCTATCTATCTATCTATCTGTCTGTCTGTCTGTCTGTCTGTCTGTCTGTCTGTCTGTCTGTCTATCTCTCTATCATCTATCATCTATCTATCTATCTCTCTATCTCTCTATCTATCTATCTATCTATATCTCTCTCTCTCTCTCTCTCTCTCTCTCTCTCTCTCTCTCTCTCTATCTATCTATCTATCTATCTATCATCTCTCTCTCTCTATCTATCTATCTATCATCTCTCTCTCTATCTATCTCTATCTATCTATCTCTCTATCTGAATAGATAGATAGATAGATAGATAGATAGATAGATAGATAGATAGATAGATAGATAGATAGATAGATAGATAGATAGATAGATAGATAGATAGATAGATAGATAGATAGATAGATAGATATGTCTATATTTATTTTGTGGATTCTATTTTTTTATTTGCCTGATCCTTCTCTACATTTCTTATCATCCTTCAAGTCAGTTCATTCTCTCCTGTTAATCCCTGCCTTTTGCTGTTCTGGAGTGAATGAATTTAGGCTGCAGAACCTGCTTTGACTCAACAGGGGGCGTTGCAGATGCTTCTCTGCAAGCCTACTTGATGCAGCTTGGTTGTTGGGCTCCGTCCAGCTGTCAGGCTGCTGTTACACAAGAGACATCTTTATTTTCATCTTTTAACTCTACTCTGATGCTTAACTCTTACTAGTAATTTGGCAGTAATGCACCATCCAGCTTGATTTAAATGATTCACAGCAACCTTTTATAGATTAAAAGAAAACATCTTATGATCCCAGAATGTCATTAGGTTTGTCTCCCATAATTTTTGTGAAGACTTTATCAGACAATCACATTTCACGGAGTCATGCCGACTAAAAGGGTAAAAGTTTTTGTTCGTTAAAGAATTAAAGCTGAAGTCAGATTTTGCAGTTTGTTAATCTATATCACCGTCACCCACTCAGAACGGCGGTGTGATTGAACTTGATCTTGCTAATAGGGTTCTAGTGCTGCGCGATACATCAAACTGTGTCTGGGGAAATGGTTTTGTTGACGTTGAAGGAGGCTTCATTCAGGGAAATTCCTGTCCAGTTGCACAATTAATCAGCATACCCATGTTAGGCTTTGTGTTTGTGTTTATTTTTCCACATGCGCAGCCCTGTCTGCACTGAGGTTTTTATGTCAGCGCGCGTGTGTGTGTGTGTGTGTGTGTAGACTTCTTTTTATCATGTCTGTAACTGATGCTCTTCCTCGTGCAACCGGACTAAGGAATGCATTCATCAACCATCCTATAAGTAGTTTAAGTTTCATTCTAATTCATTCAAGGTTAATTATTGTGAGCCTTTAAAGAGATACTAGGCAACTTTTTCATGTTTTTAAATCATTTTCTTGTGCTAAAGTTACCCTTTAAATGTCAGACCCCTACCGCCCTCTCTGGCCAAAATATTGCACTTGCAACTTCAGAGTGCCGGTCCGGCCGTTTAGACTTAGAGAAAAATGCAGCTGACATACCTGGCGCTGCATGTTTTAGATCAGGAAGACAGCTGATTTGCTTAATTTAGTGGCGAGTCCCCCCTGCAGACACTAATTAAGGCTGAGGAGACATTTTAGCTTTCAGATTAAGGTGTTAAGACTAAAGCAAAGCGAGGAAATGAGTTTTGCTTTTGGTTCTACTAAATGGGCACTAGGGGGTGCTAAAAGCAAGTCAGAACTGCCTAGTCTCCCTTTAAGATTTAATCACAGTGTTTTTAATAAAGTTTGTCTCGTTAAAATCCAAAAATCTTTACTTATTGAAGAATCTTCGTCTTTTCTTGTTTCTCGCGTTTTTCCAGAACAAGAAACATGCTTATAGTTTAGTTTTTTATTTACTCCTTTTCTTTTAATAAAATATGAGCTGATCTTTTCCTAGAAGTTTAGTTGAAGTCATGCTTCTAGAAGATGTGTCGTTAAAAAACAGGTCTTTAGCAGAACATTTTTTCCTGTCTAAACGTCATGGTGCTTTTATGCAGTCGCCACAAGCACAAAAGCATGCGTCGCTTCAGACTTTGCTCATATCCTTCTTGCTTTTGAAACATAAATGCACTGTCATGTTGGGGTTGGGCAGCAACACGCTGTAGCAGGAGGTTTGTAGCCAGAGTCTGTGGTGAGGTGAAGGCTAAGACTTTTTTTTTTCAGTTTGTTTACAGCAACAGTTTAGTGCGGTGTCTCATCCACGTTGTCACTAAAGCTACTAACAGCAGATGTTTTATTTTCTTCACGGCTTCGATGCTGTTGTGCTTGTAGAAACCTGGCAGATGCACCAGAACAAAGCATTTTAAAGATTTTCATAGAATAAGATGCAGGTCCTGTAGTTTTTGTTGAGAGCTAGCAGGCTAAGCCACACTAACTAACTAACACCACCCTTTTATCTCCAATCAGCTGGCACCTCCCCCTGAGCCTGACGTTCCTGCAGAGGTGTGTTTTCAAACCTGCTAATGTGGCTCATTGCTGATCTGAGATCATTTATACACCAACTTCATCTCATTGTGTTGGTGCTCAGTGTTTAGTGTCACCTTAACTGAACAGATGAGAGTCCCTGTCTCTCCTATGCATTCCCTTTACATTTGACCCTCATTCCTCTAGTTTGTTAGTTTTAGAGCCGTGAGGTTGATGAGGTCATGGTGAGGTTGTTTTGACACGTGTGACTGGTGTGTCGTGAGCTCACAGCTAAACTGTGTATCATGATTTACCTGCTTTAGGAATTTTGGCACCGTGCCCTTTCAGTTATGGTATTTTTAAATAGATTTTAAAAAAATGTAAAATATCAAGTGAGTCTACTCAAATCAAATGCTTCAGAGAAAGGTGGACTGTTTTAATGCATGTTAATTATTTTTAGAGCTCCTGTAAATAAAAACTTTGAGTGGTTTTTACTGTTTTCACCACACAAGCTGCCCCTCAGAATGCTGCAGGTTTAGGGTTCTGTAGATCAAACAGTGAGCATCCCTTGCATGAAATGTTGCATGACTTTGACTCAACCTCACATCTTCCCTGACACAACCACTTCCCTATTAACTGCATGATCAAATCTGCACTCTGTTTCCTGCATGCTCTTAAAGTAACTCATTTGCACTGAATTAACATCCTACTCTGTTCTCTGATTATTTTATAAAATTTCCTTTCTGAATTTTCTTTCATTCCTTTTTATTTATTGTTTTGATGCTTTCTGCTAACTCACATCACCTTTAAGGAGCTTGATCCCAACCAGCCACTGAAGCAAGTGGAGGATCAGAGGAGGGTAGGTAACGTGTTTGGTTTGCTGTGGTTTGGTCCAAACCTCCAGCTTATTGACATGCAGTAGCAGACTAACTGCTGCAAGGCCCTGAAAGTCACGCTGCTTTCACAGCATGGCCCTCACTCACTCGCTCCCCTGACACTTAAATGAAACGTAACTCGTGTGGAAGCTCAGCAGGAGGACTGTACTTCTGGGTCTCCATCTCCTCATTGATGGATGTGATTTGTTTGGACAGAGTCACGTATGAAGCAGCTGTGATTTACACCAAAGTGGCTCAAAACAGCTGGATGTAACCCAAGACTACTCTTATTTAGCTGTATGGATTCAACAAATCTCCGTTGTTTATAGATCTTAATCGTTTGAATGTTTTAAAGTAAGTTGAGCAGGCTGGGCAAAGGACAAAGGACTTTTAAGTTGAGGAAAATATTCAGTGAATCACACAGTCATGGGCTAAGGTGTGGTTTTCCCAGAGTTTTCTCCTCTAGTGGTATTTTATCTGTTTCTATGGTTATTGAAGTAGAATTTCAGGCATTTAACGAGTTTCTAAAGCTTTCATTGGATCACGTTAGGCTTATGGAAGGGGTCATTATTCGCAGTGTTGGTCCTTACTTTTGAAAACCTCTACAGTTCACCCTGACATGCTGTCATTTTGGGCTAGACTGATGTATCGGGTCAGTATTTATCATTTTTAGACATCGGCATCGGCCGATATTTGTCTTCATTAAAGCAGATTTAAAGTCGGGCACATCCTCGGGCAGCCTGCTGCTGCTGTAAAATTTACTGTAAATGTCTTCTTACAATCACTAATAACATCTGCATAACACATTTATTTAGGTGCCTGACTTTGAGGCTGAGCAGTGCACAAAGTTGAGATTTAACAGTTATTTAAGATCAGAGTTCAAAAACTGATTTAACTTCAGAAATTTTGTACAACTGATGTTATTAGTGATATTTTAGCAAGAAAATTAGCTGGAGAGTGTTTAGATATTGGCCATCGGCTGACCGTGTCTCCTACGTATTTGCATCGGTATCGGCATCAGTTTAACCGATATCAGTCAACCTCTTCTGTCAGTCAACTCTTGCCTCAGACGCTGGCTGGTTGCGGTATGCTAAATTCTTGCATTTTTTAGAATTTGTAGGTTCAGATTTCCCAATGAGATTAAGGTCTGGGGAGTTTATTAGACCTAGACCTAAAACGTTCATGTTTTGTATCTGGTCAACTAAGTTCAGACTTAATCTATCTGGCCCGGTGCTCCTTCATGCTGGAGACGTCCATGTTCATCTTGTTCATCACCAAGCTGTCGTTGGATGGTTGGAGGAGTTCCTCTGGGAGGATGTCTAGGTACCATTCTCCATTCCTGGCTCTTCTGAGGCTACAATGCGAATAAGTTCATTTCCTTCACTGAGAAGCAGCCCCCCCGAACACACACAAGAATGGTCTCAGGATGCTTTACTGTTGGCGAGACACAGGACTGACGGGAGTACTCACCTTTTCTTTTCCAGACACCACTTTTTCCAGATACCCAAACTATCAGAAAGGAGATTCATTAAAGAACATTATTTTTTATTGACTACTTATGTCCTCGAATCAGGCTCTAAACTTTGGGCTACGACTGTGTTTTCAGAAGATGCCTGTGTATGAGCTTTTATCTACTGGTGGACTTGGGTGTGATATTAGTGTGAATTCACGATTGTATTTGTTCAAATAAAGATTTATTTATACTGTTTGTGAATTTGGTACTATAACTTAGAATATTCATAAAATTTCTGTAACAACATTTAAACTTCATTCATTAGTTTTTTCACCTAACAGGGTGAGGCTCTGCGGCAGATTTTAGTCAACCGATATTATGGAAATGTCAAATCTGGTCAGAGGAGAGAGAGCATCACCACCTACAGCAATGGTCCACTCGCTCCAGGAGCACAGGGAAAATCGATTACAGGCAAGTTCATCATGATCAAAAATAAGATAATGTTTTAGCCAAGAACACTGTTGATGTAAGTATTTAATTAGGCTAACACTTTCAGATGTAAAATTACAATAACAGGTGTGGTGAGTCTGCTTGAGGTGTATTCAATTTTCTTCAAACAGCTGTGAAACAATGAGTCTGGAAGTTTTTTTTACCTGTGGGCTTCGTACCGGTCTGTTGTGGTGAGGAGAGAGAGAGCTGGAAGACCAAGCTCTCGATTTACTGGTTGATCTTCGTTCCATCCCCTATTAATGGTCACAAGGTTTGGGTAGTGACCGCAAGAATTAGATTGCAGATTCAAGCGGGCGAAATGAGTTTTCTCTGCAGGGTGGCTGGGCGCTCCCTTGCAGAGGAAGCTCGGCCATCTGGGAGGGGCTCGGAGTAGATCCGCTGCTCCTCCACATCGAGAAGATTCAGTTGAGGTGGCTCAGGCATCTGGTTAGAATGCCTCCTGGATGCCTCCCTTGTGAAGTTTTCCCAGCATGTCCAGCTGGTATAAGACCTAAAGGAAGAGCCAGGACATGCTGGACCTGCCTGGACCAACTTAGGTCTGAGAGGACAGGAAAGTGGCTTCCACAGGACTGGACAAGGTGTCATTATTCAGCCAGATAAACACAAAAAACAAAGCGAATGAGACCAACAACGGTAAATAACTAGTAAGGAGTAGCGCCAGCAAACTGAGAAAATGTGGTCAGTATGTCCTTAAGCAGTTTAAGCCTATAGCAGTATAACGAAAAGGATGAGCCAGGATAAACAAAGCTAATCCGAACTAAATTACTGGAGAATAATAAATGATGAATGACCTGCGCCTAGCGCCTTTCTGAGTCAGAAGACTCTGAAGTGCTTTACACCACAGTGAATCATTGATCCATTCACACACTGCTGCCCCAGGACACACTGACAGAAGTGAGGCTGCCATGCACTGGGGCCACCGGTCCCTCCGACCACCACCAACAGGTAATGTGACTTAACCCCCAGAAACCCAAATTTAGAAAACAACTGCAAAATCTTTTTTTAACCTTTCACATGTTGTTCTAGGAGGCCAGATAAACGGGCCTATTTACACAGTTTAACAGCCAATAATGTTGCAGAACTGAACAATAGGACCTATTAGCATTGTAAATGTGGTTTCAAAAAGAAAAAAAATGGGGAAGGTTTATTTTTGTAGACTTAAATCTGATGTTGTAATATTACAACCGTGGGTCTCTGGGGGTTAAGTGTCTTGCCCAAGGACATGATGCAGAACTTGGGTTTGAACCTGCAACACACTGATCACAGAGCATACTCATATATTTGATGTGGAAGTTAAATGGTTTGTATAAGATGGGACTTGATCCACGGCAGCTTTACAAATTGGACATTAAATGTTTAATTTATTCATGGATCTCATGGGAGCCTTTGAAGTGATGCTAAGAAAGGAAGGATTGGCTCTCTCCTCCAAGATGCGTACAAAAAGTAGGTGATTTTCATACACCATGCCTTCATCTAGTTAATGGACATTATAAAATCTGAATAATGGTTCATGTAAAATCACATCCTGCTCCATCTCAGACACAATTCAACATTTCATTTAAAAAAAAAAGCGAAACGCATGAGATTAACTCCTAATCTGTGACCCGAGCCTTTCTCCTCGGCCCAACAGTGGACGTGTTGTTGCCAGGCGACCGACGTTCCAAGCTCTGTGTAAAATGGGATGTGTTGTTGATTCAGTTGCCAGAGATGGCTCTGATTGGTGCCGTTATGCCACCAAATTCCTCCCTGACTGCATGTGGCCACTGGCAGCAGTGGGAGACATTTAAGGACCTCCATGGATTAGAGACGTGATGTTTTTATTTGGGTTATTACATGCTTCACAAATCTCTTTTTATCCACACCAAACACAACATTCTTGGCTAAGCCCTGTTTTATTTTGAATTATCACAGTGTTTATTTGATTATTCTCTTTGTCAGCTAAGCTACAGTGGTGCTGCTTGGTGGGCTTGAACATCTTCATTTATTTATGAGTTTTCTCTTTATATTGTAGGAAAATGCTTCCATCAAACTGTGCAAAGTGGAAGGATGTCCTTACTAGAGTGTGAAATGTCATGGACAGATATTTTTCTTTTTAAAAAAGATTAAGTAATATGTGAAACATCTGAATGCATCAATATCAGTTTTGAAGATAATTTTCATTCTTGTCGCCCTAGTCGTCAGCCCTGGGGTCGGAGGTCGAGGGGAGCTGAGTTTGGCTGAGGTCCAGTGCCACCTCGACAAAGAAGGCGCATCTGATCTGGTCATTGATTTAATCATGAATGCAACCAGTGACCGGATCTTCCAGGAGAGCATCTTGTTGGCAATAGCACTGCTGGAGGGTGGAAACACCGTCATCCAAGTGAGTGTGCTTCAGAGATCACCTCTACGTTTGTTTCCTATCTTGGATGTCTGGGATCACCTGATTATTGCTGGACATCAGTGGTTTTGATGAAGTATGAAGATTCATCTTACTGATAGGATGGGGCCAGACGTTTAAGAATCTTAAAAACTAAAGTCAAAATCCATTCTATGTTGGTCATGCTTATGACTTCCTTGCAAACAGTCAATGATGCATGGACGTGCAGATCATGTCAATTTTGGGTCCGGTGGTCCAGACCACGTGTGCAGGACGTCCTAACTAGGGCCCGACCGATATGCTTTTTTTGGGACCGATACCGATATAAAACTTTTAACAAAGGCCGATAGCCGATATAATGGCCGATAAATCTCCCTCACACAAAACAAAATAAATAAATACAAATGTTCTTAAGATTAAACCCTTCATTCTCTGCCTTTTTGATGCTAACTTATTTCTATATTACACACGAAAGAACTGTCTCAATAACTCACTAGGGTTTCCAAGTAATTTAAATAAGATTTATTTTGCAATCTCAAAAACAACAGAACACACAAACTCAGTCAGTATAAATCTAACATTCAAGTTTTTTGTTTTCTGAGTCTGTGGAGTTTTACACTTTTGTGTTTTGATCCTTTCCAAAGCCGACAGTATTAGGAAAATAAAAATAAGGTACGTTAAATGACTAGTATGTGGCAATGTATAAGCCTTATGTAAAATATAAGGCTGAAAAAATGCAATAGATTTATTCTACTGTAGAGAGGAATGTTTATTTTCTCATATTAACACCCCCCCCCCCCCGCCCCCCCGCCCCCCTCCTCCCCCAGCTAGGGAGAGGAGGGGGACTCCCTGCACAGCGTTTCATTGCTTTGTTGCCAACCCCTCCTCGCCCGTCCTCTGTTGTGACAACGGTCATGTGCCGCCGAAGCGCGGCAAAACGGGGACCGCCTTCATTCGACGCCCTGGTTATCCTATTCTATAGGCCACATGGGCCGCCGAAGTGCCGCGAAACAGGGACCGCCTTCATTCGTCGCCCTGGTTATCCTATTCTATAGGCCACATGGGCCGCCGAAGCGCTGCGCGCCGGCCCTCCAGCCCGCGCCATGCAGCGATCGTTTCGGTGTCTGCACTATTTTTTTCGCGAGCCGCGGGTGACCCACGTGAGTTTCGAAAGACTGCTGAAGAAGAGCGGAGGAAATTGTCTGAGAATATTCCAGAATGTCTATCAGAAAAAGGCCAATGTTACTTACTTACTGCCCTGCATGACTAAAACTTGGTTTATGCTTGACGCATTCACTTTCTGCTTGGTGATGCGGATGGAACGCGCTTCACAACTCGCAGCTTTTATGGTTCATGCGGCGTGTCTCTGCGGTGAGCCAATATTCTCCCAAACTGAACGGGGCAGCATGGAGCTCTACGGCATGCATCCAACACTACTCCATAGTAGAAGTAGAAATTACTGTTTACAACACGGCATTTCAGCAATTTTAACAGCGTCCTCGTCTTTTCCGACAGTGCGAGCTATTTCTCTCCAAGAATTATAAACAACATGTTGATCATGGTGATCTCTGAGAGCTGAATCATACAAATGTCTGTATTTACGAACCTCTGCCATACCAGTTCTTGCCAGTCTGCCATGTTTTTCCGCGTCCGACCGTCCACGTGGTTAGAAAATTTCCTAGGTGTGCGTTGCGGAAATTTTGGGCCGTGCGGAGGAGCGTGGTTGTTAAAATGACGCAACTTTTCCGTGCGGACCTCGCGGACGTGTCAAGCATATACCAACCTTAAAGAGGAAGCAGCGTGAGCTCTGCATAGAGCGTAATGCTGCGGCAGTTTTATTTTATTTTTTCAGGTTAACTTTTCAATACGAGGCCACGAGGCACACAATAAACTTAGGAAGCATGTTGAGGGGAAACATACTTTTGTCGTTGTTTATTTTACCATTCAACTTACCACTGACACAACAAATATGCTTAAAACTGAAGACTTTCCTCCTACTTCTTCATCACCGTCCTCTCTGCTTGACCGAATTGCTTCTGCTGCTCCGCTGCATGTGTGCTGTGACGGTGGCTCCACCCCCCGAGGAGTGGAGCCTCACAACATGAGTTCATAAAGCTGGCGCCATCTGCTGGATAGGTAGCTCAATATCGGCCATATCGGCCGTCTTTTTGGCCGATAGCCAATAGTGTTAATGACCCCTATATCGGCCGGCTGATATATTGGTCGGGCCCTAGTCCTAACTAGGTTGTTGCACAGAGTTGGAAGACAAAACTCTTTGTTTTACCACTGTTAAATAATGAAGACACAACTAAAATAATACAAATGAGTTCTGCTAAAAATGTGAATGACCTTTTCTAAATCTGTAAAGAAGAGTGTGAAGGGCTTTTATTGATAACTGAACTGATCTGATTATTAAATTTCAATGAAGAAAATCTACATGAAGGATGGACTGAAGGGTCTAGAGGCCTGAGGATACTGTCTGGGTTTTCTGCTAATTTCTGTTTCCCCAAACGGGATGAATTCTGTCTTGTTTTCATTAAGAAGAATTTAAAGTGAGTTCATCTGTATCCAGATTTCTATGAATCATTGAACAGAGGCTTCAGTGATTCATTTGCTTTTACTTTTGTGTGTGAATATTGTGAATTGAGAGGTTTTAAACTAGGTGCAGAAAGCATATTGACATTTTTGAATTCATGTCTAAATTGGGGTGGTCTGCACCTATCCAGAGGCTGCCGAGGTGACTCTTTTTCAGCTTTTTCAATAGGTCTGTGCACGTTTTTCAAAATCCACCTGGTTTGTATATTCAGCAAGTGTTAGGTTTGCTGTTTTCTTACATAACCGGCTCCAATTTGCATGGTAGTGTTACCTGATGTGGCCCGACTTCCCAAAGTGTACACAAAGGCGCTCACATGACTCTGGTTACATAAGCTGCCGCCTCCCTCTGTAGTAGGGTGAGCGACGCCCAAAGTCAAAGGTCTCCTGAAATTCCTGTCAGACTCCTAACTGGGTCGCACTTCGTTCATGGAGAGGAGGCACTGGAAAGCAGGAGTTCCAGTAGCTTCTCTGGTGCCACTTGAGGAAACACCACTCCTCACAGCTTCCCTATAGACATACACACCATTTGACTTTCTGACTTAGCTGTCATTGTAAATGCCTGTAGCTGTCTTATGCTCTGGGCTTAGTGATTGATGAGGACAGCTCAGTTCATCTTTACAATAAGTATCAAAGCTCTTAGATTTCCTTGTATTTGTACTTCAGAGCAGTTCCTTCAAAGCTATTATTTACATTTTTTCCACGCATAAAGGATTTTAATGCATCAATGAGTGCTTTCAGGAAGTTAATTTATTCATGTGACAAAAACTGTATTATGAGTCATTTTGATTAGAAGATAAGTGAAGGTGTTTCTGCTTTTTGTTTGGTTGTTTAACAAATAAGCTCTGTTTAAAGGTTTTTTATGATCCAGAGTGAATTTACTACAGATCAGCAGATGTATCACATTTTCCTGCCTTGCACAACAATTGGTTGCACGCCCTTCTAGGACAGAGGGGGTTTTTGTTGGCTAAATGGAAAACAGGACCAAAACATGCTCACCAGATTTAAGCAAGCAGTCTGCTTGTTTGTTTTCAGGGCAAATCCAGACGTTGTAACCCGGCCAACGAACTTTCTGGGAAAAACCATGTATTGGAGAAGAAAAGTTAGGACAGGAAGCACATCTTCCCACAGATCTCTTATGTTGTTTATATTTATTTGCTCACAACTGCTAACTACTCGCAGAACACTAAATAATTTCTAACACCAGACACAGAAAACCTGAGTTTAAAAAAGAAACATTTGATCTTTAAACTCAATAACTGGTTGAAACACATTTGGCTGCAACAACTACAATAGAGTGTTTGTTATAACTGGTATTTGTTATATCACGTTACTGTGGAGGAATTTTGTCCCACCTGATTTTGTAGCAGCAGCCTGGTTAAGGTCAAAGGTCAGATAGTCTTCTTCGGGATTTGCTATATGAATTCTTGCTTCTTTCAAGTGGTCCTGGACCGGACCATCACACTGCCACCACCATGTTTGATAAGTTTTATTTACTTTTTTCAACTTTATTTTCATTTATTGACATTAAAATAAAAATACAAAACTAAATTGCTAAAAGCCAAAATGAAAAAGGGGACAGAAAGAAGAAAAACTTATGTTATCTGCCGCTTTTAACTAAAATAACATTAATACAAATGGAACGATCAAAAGATTCTTAAAAAAATTTGAACAATATTGTTTCCGGATTGGCTGGCCGACTTAACCCTAACCCATGAACCGAAAAAAAGAGAGAAAACAAGTTACACAGAAAGAAGCACAAAGCTATACACATATACACCTACATATATACACATATGCATACACAGACCCGTTCCTCCTTTCCTTTTTCTTATTTTTTTCTTTCACCCCCACCCCCCTCCCCTCACGCGTTTATGTAACACGTTTGATGTTGCTTTTCTGAAATTTGTGTTAGTTTTACTCACGATGTAATGGGAAACGCACCTTAGAGAGAGGGAGATCACAGGTGATGGGTGGTGACCCACAGCTGTTGACCTGACACCATCATCCCTGAAGCATTTATACAACCAAATAAGACGAAAAGTTGTCAGTGGAAGAGATGCAAAGAAGCACTGTGAATCATCTGTTCCATGAATGGAAATGAGGCTGAACCTCAAGCCACCTTTACAAATCTGATTAAATAATGCCCTCATAATACAGCCAACAGGAATCAATCAAGGAGTTTTTGGTTGCTGTCCTGATTCTTGAGTCCTCAGCTAGATGCACTTAAAAGTTATGATAGCTAACATCATAATAGCTGTCCACCATAGGGAGCCTAAGTCACGCCCATCTCCTTTCAGACCATGGGTCTCTGGAAATAAGAATAAAGGAATTCAAGTCCATAGGTCTATAAAAGCTATTTTCTAATCCTGTTTGTTATGTGCCATGGATTTTACATGTGATGTCCGTGA